TAGAGCTATCAGCAGAATCTGAAGGGCCAAGGTGGGTGGTGGTGCAAGGATTTTATACAGATGAATAGCTATGCTCTGAGAACAAAATGAGCAAGGAGTTGGGCATCTGTCTGGGGGAGCTGTTTCATCCAGCACCCTGCCTATTTACACCACTTGTTTTCTGAATTCAGCTATGCAATATAATGCTAGGCACAGCTAGCTGGGAACTGGGTCTTGGCAGGAAGCAACCCTGTCACAGGGTGAAAGGGCAAATAAGGGCAAACATGGCATAGGTGAAGATTCGTTATTGCCTCCTTGCCATACATTGGTCTTTTGCATGTATATCCAATACAGTGTGGGAGGGTTTTGGAAGGGAATTACACTTCTTTGCCATTGCTGTTGTCCCAAATAGCATCCCTGTTGCTGAGTTCAAAATTAGGATATGTTCAAGACAATGCTTCAGCATGTATTCAACTTTAAGTCTTTCTATTATTCATTAGTACCCATATTCATGCATTCTTACGTGCTTTGTAACAGCAGCAGTGAAAGCTTGTAAGGAAATTTAGAATGTGTATGTTAATCAGAGAATGAAGACAAATTATAGTACCATTAAACTCAATCTCTCACACAATGGAAATGAATGCCAAAAGCTAAAAAATGTGTAAAGCTTTCATTTTTAAAAAACAAGTTTTTAAACAGCAATTCTGCTATGTTGGAAGCCATATTTTTTTCCTGCCCTAGCAATCCTTTGCATTCAGTGAAAGCTGCACTCAAAAGCAATTGCTGAAGACAGGGAGGAGAGTAATTGCAATGGAATTAACCTCTGACATTTTTTTCTAAGAATAGCCCTGATAAATTCACTCATCAGCAGGTTACCTGCCTACCTTGATGCAGTGTAAACACTTTTCACTCCAACCTTTTTGAAGCATAGCTTTTGTAAATTGTTAACCATTCTTGCAGAAGGAGCCGTCTATTTTAGCAAATGTATTTTGCTTTTGAATAATTGAATATTATTGAATTCTATCAAGCTTCCAGGTACTGCAACTAAAGATCGGATTTGGAAGATGGGCAAACTAGAGCTGCAGTCTTGGCACTATCATGCTGATCTATCTTTGATATACGTGTTGTGGTTTACAAGAAAAAGGAAAAATACATAAAATATATATGATTTAATCTGTGACTGGAAGCTGTGCTAGAAACCTGGGCCACTTACAGCTTCCAAATACAGATTGGTGCTACCAGAATTTTTTTTCTGCTTCCCCATAGCGTACTAACTGTTTTGTGAATCTCCCAGGCTTTTCCCATCTTTTCTACAGTATTTCCTAAACATGCTTTATTGCAGTGTTTTATTGAAGCATTAACAAAAAAACTTTTGCAAGTGGGAACTGAGCATTTCTCAGTGGAATGGAACAGTAAGAAATAAGTAATGGTGTGCCAAATCAGATGTGATTGTGTGGTGGATAGTTCCAATACTTTTCAAATCTGTTATGATTAAATAGCATAGTGTGAAGTAGCACTCTAAACATGTGGAGCAATATTGCCATCTTTAACATCACTGGAATCATGTAATCAAAATAAAATAAGGGGGAGCTATCGAATATTTAAGACATTTCTCCACAGTGTAGAATATTAGTTTACTAACAAATAAGAAATTATACCTCAAGATTTTGTTGGAACTGGAAACATTCACTGCTGTCGGGCTTTGGCACCAGCACAACCAGGCTGCACCCAGCGCTCTGTAATGGTTCAGTAACACCCATTGCCCGCATCTCTTTGATCTCTTTCCCAATCGGCTCCTATTGCTTTCTCAGAACCGGTCTCCATCAGGTGCATGCCACATGGCCGGGGGTCGTGGGTATGCAGTGCGTGGCTAGGTGAGTACATCCAGGGGTGGATGTGAAGACGCCGGGGACCTGGTCAAGCACTTCCCCCACCTCTGCTTGTTGCCCCCTGTCCACGCTGGGGTTGAGAGCTGGGAGACCCGGACCCTCTTCCTCTGTGGTCCATGGTAGCGACTCCTTGGACAGCCTGTCAGGCTCTGTAGACAAGTTGTTACTATATCTGCCTCCAGCCTCTCAGGTCGTTAATATAATGTGCAGATGTTTGCAGTCCTTCCTGTGAGAGCCGTGCTGCATTTTGTAGGAAAGGGCCCCCAAAACATGAGTCACTGTGAAGGGTTCCTGCCAGGGGTCACCGTGCGGCCTAGACGTTGCTCCCCGGGATACCAGTACTGGGTCTCCCTCCTGGAAGGCCTGTAGGTGGGCCCCTCAGTTGTACCGGCATTCTTGCCTTTGCTGCAGGTCCTCTAGGTTCCTCTGGGTGTCCACCTGGACCACCCCCAGCCTTTCTTTTAGTCGGGTCACGTACTCACAGGGGTCCTTCGGGTGGGGGTTGATTTCCCGGGCCCACTGTCCTTCCACTAGTCCCAAGATACCCCTGGGGACCCGTCCATAGAGGAGCTCAAATGGGGCAAACCCTGTGGACACCTGCGGGGTCTCCTGGATTGCAAACAGGATGGGGCCCACTAGGAGGTCCCATGACATGGGTTGGTCTTGCGCTACCTTCCTTAGCATCCCCTTTAGGGTTTGATTCATTCTCTCCACCAGCCCATCGGTCTGGGGGTGGTGGACTGCCGTGGGCGAACCACAATCTATAAAGATTTCTCGGGGCAGGCCCACATGGGTGAATAATTGCAACAATGTCTGCGCCACACCTGCGCTCTTGTGGCTTGGTAAGGGGACCACTTCCAGGTACCGGGTTGCATAGCCCATTACCACTAATATGTAGCAGGGGTCCCTGAGAGGTTCGTGGAAGGGGGCCAACAAAGTCCATGGCTATCCAGTTGAACGGGACTCCTAGGATAGGGAGGGGGGCAGGGGCCCCCTCAAGGCTGCTTTTAGGTTCATGCGCTGGCATGTCCCACAGGACTGGCAGAAGCCCTTTACGTCACGAGCTATGGGAGGCCAGAAGAAGTGGGCAAGGATATGGGTTATGGTGTTCTTGAAGCCTTGGTGTCCCACCCATTGATGGCCATGGGCGCTAACTGTGGCCACCTCCCAATACTGTGCGGGCAGCAGCAGCTTGTCTATGGGTCCTAACCTCCTATTCACCCTCCTATACCAGACCCTGTTCACCTGGACAACCTGGGGCATCCGCTGGCTCTGCCGAGGATCCACCACTACCTCCTCACTCACCACCACCCGACCACATAGTCGAGCTAACTCCTCATCCTCCTGTGCTGCAACAAACTGCGAGTCAGCATCCCGCTGCTGTCTCAGCTCTCTTGCGTCCTGGGGTCCCATGGACAGGCCTTCCTCTGGGTCTGACTGCTCCTCCTCAGCACCTCCTGTCCTGACCCCCACTCCTCCACCAGAGCTGCCATGTCCCCTAAGGAACTGGATCCCTGGGCTGTTGTGGCCCCTGCTGGTAGTGGCCAATAGCTTCCAGCAGGTCTGGGGCATCTCGCCCGAACAATATTGGGCATGGCAGCTTCTCCATGCACACCAGTGGGACCTCGTACATCCGCCCCAGGTACTGTAGCAAGACCACAACCACCAGGCATCTGTCTATGTGACCGTGGAAGCATGCGATTATGGCCTGTCAGACCACTGGTAAGTTCAGGGGTAGCAGCTGGGTAGGGATCATGGATACCAAGCTCCCACTATCCAGTAAGGCTGTGAATTGCTTCCCTCCTAAGGTCATCACTGCCATCCAAGGCACAGCGCAGGTCCTTGCCTCTGCCACCTGCATCACAAGCTCTTCCCCCATGTCACACTCCATCATTGGTCCCAAGGCTGCAGGGCCTGCAGCAGCCCCTTGGAAGGGCAGGGTACCAGGTCCAGCTCTGGTTCTGCTCATCCAGGCCCTTCCTCCATGGGAGGTCTCCTCTGGAGGCCATCCCTCCCAGGGGGGTCAGCGTGCCCCACCATAGGGCTGCTGGGGGGTTCCCACCTCCCCGGCCAGCATTCACTCATAGCAGGGGGTCCTGGCTCTCTGCCACGTGGAAGTTCTCCCACAACTTCTGTGCTTCCGCTAACTAGGTGGGTCACCAACAGGCCACCCAGTGGTGCATCCTGGTGGGGAGAATCTGCAGGAGCTGTTTGATTACCACCTGTTCCACAATGTGTTATCCTTTCTCTGTGGTTGGGTTCAGCCAGTGGACGTCCCAATCTGGGGGTCACCAGGGACTGTGTCACGGGCTGGGGTGCCAGTCAAAGGGAGTCCAGAGAACAGGACAAGGTCAAGAGCCAAGAAGACCGTGTAAAGTCCCAAGCCAAGCTGGTGTCAGGAGCCAGAAACACAGAGCCAAGTCCAAAGCCAGGGGGTCCAAAGGTCTAAGTGCAAGAGCCGAGCCGAAGTGGATGCAAGCAGCACAAAGCTGACTTGTTGCTTCCACAAAGAGTACTGCCCAGATTGTGGAGTTAAATGCTGCCACCAATTAGCCAGCTGCACAATCACCCAGGCTTCTGTAAGAACTCTGGGCTAGCTGAGTGTCTCCCCTGTAGCCTGGCCTCTCATTGCCTGGTTGCTAAGTTTTGCCACAGTCGCTCCCTTAAACGAGTCACCCATGGGGGTGAGTCGGGAGGACTTTCAGCTTGCAGTTCTTCCTTCTTATCTGGGCCAGGCATGAAGACTGCTGTTACAGGCACTTGCCAGCTATCCTCCTCTGCTGCTTCAGAGGGGCCAGCTGTGGTTTCTTCAGGCTCTGTCAGCTCATCCTCATCCACACCCATGACAGACTGGAACTTCTGCTGATATACCTCCAGGGTGGCCCCATACCAACCCAGTATGTCCACCTTTAATTTCAAGTAGTCCGCGGTCTCGACCTGTGCTTCCACAGTCAAGTATGGCCCTAGAATAAAGGCCCACTGGTCCGCCAGCCATCGTGCTGCTGCTGCAGTACACTCAAATCGATCTTGTCTTTTGGGCCTAATTTAGTCAATGGGGGCCAAGGTCCCTTGGTCAGCGGCAATCCCCCGCCGCCTCCACCTGGCATTTGTCCTGCCGCAAGGAGGGCCTGCTGCAAGTCCCTCATCATCACAGCCTGAGCCACCTGCTGTTGTTGGGTCACCTGATGCTCGGCCATCCACTGGCCAAAGTGCATCAGATCCATCTTGGAACCTTCGGGCCATTCCTGTGCCTCTTCCACTACTCCTTCTGACCCTGCTTCCATGTCTGGTGGTGGCAGGAGAAAGGTGGGAGGGCGCAGCCAAGCCCGAATACTAGTCCACCCCTCTAGCGCCAGTATATGGGGGCTGGGTAGCTTCACTGGGATGCCACTGCCTGCATCCTCCACCATTTTGTCAGGCCTCTCCAAGCTGTCCTCCGGTGCCCCTCCCATCGCCACCTCGATACTGAGGTCCTGGGTCTCTGCCGCTCCTGAGGGCTGCCCACCCACTGTGCTGTGACATGGTTGGGCCAGAAGGGGAAGGATCAGAAATGAAGGAGGAGGGGTCGCCTCAGCCGTGGGGTGTAGTGAAGGGGGGGGTTAGGTCACCCTCCCTCTTTCACCCTTGGGGTCCAGCTGGCTTCTCCCACACACTCTGTCTCTTGCCTCTCATGTCCTGGACCTCCAGCCTGCTCATCGGCTGCCTCCACCTTCCCTTTTATCCCCGTCTCTTTTCCAGCCCTGCCTCCCTGCTCAGCCCCACCCTTTCTCAAAAGTCCCGATGCCGATCCAGCCCCATCTGCCTCTGCCCATGCCCTGTCTATGCCCCCCTGCCGCCTTGTTGCATTCCCTGGGTGCCATGGCTTGCACTGAGCCCGTGTTGGCGAGTGCAAGGCCGGGTGCCACTGGTCCACCCCCGCGCCTCCTACCCTTCCCAGGTGGTCGGGGCAAACGTGGTGCGGCTGCAGATGGGCACACCCCAGCACTGTGCCGCCACCTTCGTGTACCTCCAGCCCTCCCTGTGTGCTCTGATGCTGGGCTTCCTCACCGGTTTCCCTGCTGCCCCCGGTCAATGCTCTACTGCTGAGCCAGGGTTCCCCGTGAGTCCAGGTAAGAGGCGAGGTGGCGGGTGGCCTTGCAGTTGCCAGTGGTCATGCCAGGTGGTCTTGGACCATTTCTGGAGGGGAGGGGGTGGACTTTGGGCCCCTGCTGTCACCCCTGCCCCTGCTCTCTCCAGGAGGTCCTGTTTGGGACCGGGACAATTGGATGCAGAAAATGCTGGTTTTTATTATATTTAGTAAACTTTGTTATCACTAGCATTTATACCACTTTTCCAGGAAAAAATACTGATTGAAATGGTTTATAGCACATAAAATAATAAAAAATCACAAAAATACACAATTGGTTGCATCCCAAATAAAGGACTTTTTAAAAGTTAAATTTGGCACTGATGTAATTTTAACTTTGAGGCGGTAGTCCTGTTGTTTTGCTGTATAAAGAATCTACCTAGACAACAGATGGTACTAAAACTGATCACAGCACAAGAATTTTGGTTGCATTGTTGCATACTGGACAATGTATAAAATTCCAAAGTGTTTGGGATAGTAGGAGAATATGATATATTGTGAGTATGGTAAAATTAATGGGTAGTGCATGAGTATGGAAGGGAACAAACTGTAAGCTTTGTTGAAAATATGTTTGCTTTGGGGATGAATATTGTATCTGGATCCATAAGCATTGTTCTTCTTTACATATATGTTATTAAATGGTTGCTTGTCCATCGATATCCTGTATGGTTATGAGTGTGGCAACTTTAGTGGTCAGCATGATTTTCAAAAGAGAAGAGTGTGGGCTGAAGGCAAGTGCTGGTGGAATGCAATGGCAGTAGAGATAAGCCTGCATTTTTAGAAAGAGGCTTCCTGGTGGTTTGAATGAGGGTCAGTGAGAACTAGCACAACATTCCATCTAATTCCCAGGTTCTCAACCTTGGAGGCAAGATATTTTAGGGAAGGTCATGCATTTACTGGATGTGGCATTTCTGGGCTGAACATTCCATTTTTACAAATAGCTTTGGAAACACTGCCTCCCCTCACTGCCAAATGATGCTGAAGGCTGCCTCTTTCATTTGCTACACTCTGTGATTCTTTCCTCTTTTTTGAATGTGGTATTGTTTCAATGCTACCCACACTCCTTTTCCAGCACTAGAGCCCATGCTTCCCAAGCTTTTTTTTTACAGAACTGAAGAACAGACCATCTGCTCACAGCAAACCTATCTTGACTATCACAAGACGATTTCCTTCCCATGAATTTTGGACCCCTAGTATCGGCTAGCACTAGTAAAGTGTGCTAGCAAAGCCAGTTTGGTATAGTGCTTAATCTGGAGAACTGGGTTTGATTCCCCACTCCTCCACATGCAGCCAGCTGGGTGACCCTGGGTCAGTCACAATTCTCTCAGAGCTGTTCTCTCAAGAGCTGTTCTCTCAGAGCTCTCATGGCCTCACCTACCTCACAGGGGGTCTGTTGTGGGGAGAGGAGGGGAAGGAGATTGTAAGCTGCTCTGAGACTCTGAGTGAAGGGCGGGGTATAAATCCAACTCTTCTTCTTTTTCTATCTGTGAAGGGCCATGGACTTCTCCCTAATGCCATCCTATCAACCTCTTGGCTGACATTAGACCTCCAGGTGCTCTTGCCAGTAAGAAAAGAGGAATCACGCTGTCCAACTATTGTTGTTTATAGTGTTTTAAACCTTGCCCAGTTCCTTGCTAATAATGTCTCTGAATTCCCTTAATGGTATTCAAGTACAATCGAAGATGTAAGTGCTTCTTAGAAATTTCACTGGGGAGGCAAAGCCCTGACAGTAGCTATTCCTGTAACCATATAGGCAATGAGTCCCTTAGATGCCTGCACAACACCAGTCTGCAGTTAACTTAAATTGCCTTTGTCTTTTTCTTTTCAGCTGACATTATCTCTACAGTAGAATTCAACCACACAGGAGAATTACTAGCGACAGGGGACAAGGGGGGTCGCGTTGTAATATTTCAGCGTGAGCAGGAGGTAAGTGCTGGTGAATGCAGAAATGCCCATTTTTATCCTTTTAAAAGAAGCTTCCTGCTGCTGCCTAATCTTTGCATGTCACTCTTCGCCCTGCTTCTCTTCCAGGAAACTAAAAATTGCAAAAAAGGCCATTAACATCAATAGGGCAGTTTCTGTCTCATAAAGCATCCTGCAAATGTTGTATTTTTTGCATCCTTTTGCTTCCTTTAACAGTCATTGCAGGCTGAGAATCTAATGTAAACCAAATACTGCTGAAGCATCATAAATTCAAACAAACCCAACTGACTTATTTGCTCTGCCACATCATGGTTTGTTTGGTTTGTTTGGCTTTTTTTAACCATTAGTAGGGCTTTTTTGACTGGTTTTACTTTGCCCTGGTTTACATGTTGCAGTTTTGTGAGCCTCCTGTGTCTCCTTTGATGGTAGTTCCATTGTGTTTCATAAGTTTCATTGGTTTCAGGACTCTGAGCACCAGTTTTACACTAGTACAGGATTAAAAACAACAGAATCTATGCCCAGCTTTTACATATAAGAACACCATAATGAGGGAACAGTCTTTGCCTTTGGTTGTATAATTGCTCATATTTTTACCTCTTTGTTAGGCTTGCTGATATTTGGAGTAAAAAAAGGAAATGTCATATTGGTAGTTGGAGCACATAGGACTGGCTTGCTCCCTTGGATGCATAGCTTACATGTTCATGAGCCCTGCTCCATCACGTGTAAGCTTTTAATATGAATTAGAGCCTCTGTATGCAGATAGGCGGATTTTCCGGGCGCGATCTCACCGCCACATCTGGGAAGTGTAGAGCTTCCATGGCTCACCCGAGGCTTCACTCCGAAGATGCGCTGTAAAAAACTAGTACCTCCGAGGTACTAGTTTCCGGAAACCACGGGGCAAGGGCAGGCGTCAGATCACGTTTCCGGTGTTAGCTCGTGGCATCCGGCGCCCGCCCATGTCCCGTTGCAAAAACTTTTTTTTTGTCAAGCATGTGAACACTTGGGTTAAAAAAAACAACACAACCCCCTCGGCGCCGCTTCTTTGCTGCACCGCAGGAGTGAGGTATGATCGGCACCTCCCCCCAATCACGAGACGTGGGCGGGACGTTTGATCCGACTGCCGCGCGGTAGTTCGCTCCGGGGCAAACAGCCATGTCTCCCCCCCCCCGCGATATCCGGCCCGTGTGACCGGGGCCTATATACCCTTTGTTAGGTGGCTAACAAATTAAAACATAATAAAAAACACACCTTAAAAATGATTAAAACCCACAAAACATATCATTAAAATGATTAAAACCGGAGTTAAAATACATACAAAAACAAAAACAGTGGACAGGAAGGAGGGATCACTGAGGGAAAGCTATAGAAAACAGAAAAGTCTTTATTTGCTGGTGGAAGGTAGCAACAGAAGGGGATAGACAAATCTCCATGGGAAGAGAGAAGCAGAATTTTTGATGCCAAGATCAAGAAGGACCTACCCTGGTTGCTACCCACCTAATCTCAGAAGGCGGGGCACCCAAAATACAGCCTTGAAAGATGACTGTAGTTGTTGGATAGATTCATAAGGGAGTAGGCAGTCCTTCAGGTATGTTGGGCCCAAACCATATAGGCCTTTAAATATCAACACCAGCACCTTGAATTGTTCTTGGAAAGAGATTGGGAGCTACTGTAAATGAGCCAAGACTGGAGTTATAAGGTCCTATGGTCCACTCCAGTCAACATCCTAGCATCAGTATTCTGCACCAACTGAAGTTTCTGAACACTTTCCAAGGGCAGCCTCTGTAGAGCTCATTGTAGTAATCGAATCTAGATGTAACTAGATTACATCTTTTCTGCTCAGGAAAGCCTGGTGCTGGCTAGTTAGTTGGAGCTGGTAAAAGGCACTCCTCGCTACAGCTGCTACCTGCTTATTCAGCATAGGCCTGGGTCCAAGAGCACCTTCAAGGAGAGTACAACTGCATCCAGAATGGGGGACATTTTAAATCTACTGAGTCAGACCATCACTGCCACAGGAGGTGGCGGCAGCTACAAGCATGGACAGCTCCAAGAGTGAATTAGATAAGCATATGGAGCAGAAATCCATCAGTGGCTATTAGCCACAAGGCATCTCAGTCTGGAACAAGTGATGCACTGCATTCTTGGTGCCGGGGGGGGGGGCAACAGTGGGAGGGCAACAGTGGGAGGGCTTCTAGTGTCCTGGCCCTACTGCTGGACCTCCTGATGGCACCTGGTACTTTTGGCCACTATGTGACAGAGTGTTGGACTAAATGGGCCATTGGCCTGATCCAACATTGGCTTCTCTTATGTTCTCTTCTGTTACTCACCAGAGCACTTTTGTCTTGTCGAGACTGAGCTTCTGTTTATTAGCCTGTATCCAGACTAAAATTGCCTCCAGGAAGTGGTTCAGGGTTTCTGCAGCCTCCCTGGGATCGTCTGGAAGCACGAGACATCTTTTTATATATCTTTTTATGTCCCCTGAGGGGATTTTTATTGCATTTTCTATGCACTACAAACTACAATGAAAAAAGGGGAAGGGTTGTCTACATCTAGGGAGAAAGGAAAGAAAACCACTACTAACTAAAACCCCAAGTATAGGAGATCGTTACATCAGTCTATATAAGTGTTAATCTTAGATGTTAGTATTACATTGAACATAGTCGATTAAGCTAAATTATTTATCTTTTTAACCATTTTTTAGCTGTTTAAAGACAACCCCAAGAGCATCATTTATAGTATATGCTTTAAGGCACTATTCAGAGTTCTTCAGCCTTCACGTTGCTTTATCTTATCTAATCCTCAATTGGTATTCTCGTTTAGGGGCCACCGCCCCCTTTTATGAAGCAGAGTCCTTGTTGGAAGACACTGAGTCCATTTCGTCATTGAGTTTGCTGTCATCTTCTTCCTTGGCACCCTCTTCTGGTTCATCCAGTTGCAGTCTCATAAACTCACGTGCTTTGAAAACAGAGTCAATCTTTTCTTTTTTAATCCTGTAGTTTGAAAATGACACTTTACGGGGTCAACCATCTGTATGGAATGCTGTTTGTTTGTAGAAAGAGGATTAAGTCCTTGTACTTCTTTCTCTTCTTCCTTATTTCAAATGGAATATCTTTTAAAATCCTAATGGTATTGCCTCCAATTTTCAGTGGTGTTCCTGAAGTCGCTTTCAGGATTAAATCCCTTACGTGTCTCTTCAAGAATCTCACCACTATCTCTCCAGGCAGATTATTTTTTTAATGTAAACGGAGTAGGCCCTGTAGACCACATCCTTTTCGCTTACGAGGTATTCCACTTTTAAATCTGTAACTGGAACTAATGCATTGCTCAAAAGTTGTTTTAGATTCTCATCTTTAGATTCAGGGACCCCTTGGAACCGGAGGACCAGGTTAGCTTTCTCCATTTGCAATTGTAGAAGTTGAAATTCATCCGAAGCTTGCTTCTTTTCGAGCATTTGTACCTTTTTCATAACTTTTTTAGAGTAAAGAGTGCGCCAGAAGCTTAGAGAACTCAGTGGTCTCTTCCGGTCGTGGGCTCATGCTCCCCGGTGGTTTCACTTTTGTTTTTTCTCTCTCTCCGTTTTTTCCCATGCCATTTTTATGGATTGTTTACTTTTGTATAAACTTGCTAAAGTCTCTGAAATTCGCCCATATGCTTATCCGCACTCTGGTAAGTTTCTTAAAACAGATTTCGATGCTTTAACTTCTGCTCCCCCTCCTTGTTAGCTCACTTTTTAGTTCATGCGTGTGGGAGGGGCCCCTCCCCTGCTCGCTTTTCTCGCCATTCCCAGGGGAGGGCTTTCTTCTTAAATTACTGGCATTTCACTTTTACTCGACTCACTGTTCGTTGTTGGTCATGAGACCTTGCTTAAAGTCCATTTGAAATGCTTGATCTCCGATGCTTGTCCTGGTCAGCGGCTCTAGTTCCAGTCAGACGCATATCAGCAGACAGTTGGGGCGAGAGAGCGCCTAAATTCCCCAGCAACGCGCTGGTGAAGAGGCCACCCTCCAAAAGCCCCATGGCTAGGAGCCTTTCACAAAGGCTCTGGGGGGGGTGGCAAACAATTGCCCCCCCTCCTAACTGCTAGCATGCAAATCGCACCCCTGGGAGGTCCAGGAGGTGCATCCGCCAGCGTGTCGCCATAAACCGGAAGTCCTGTTTCATGCAGATATTAAAGAGCATATGGAAAAATGTGGAACCTTGCAGGACCCCAGAAGCCAAAGGCCAAGGCCTAAGCAGCAGTCCCCCAGCACCACTTTTTGAAACCTACCCTCCAGGTAGGACTGGAACCACTGCAACATGGTACCTCTTAATCTTGGGCCAGAACTGTGGTCCATAAGGACACTATGATCAGCACAGATCTTCTACCAAGGAAACCAAGGTGTTTCAGTCCCATAACCAGGACTAAAACCAGATTGGAAACCAGATTGCTTCATGTAGTAAGGTTTGGAGTTGTCCAGCCACCACCTGTTTAATCACCTTGCTCAAGAATGGAACATTTGAGATTGGTCAATAGTTATTGAGATTTCCTAGAAATAGATAAACCGCAGCCTGTTTCAAAGTGGGAGTGACCACGCCCACTCTCAAAGAGACATTAACTACCTCTTGGACCCAGTCAGTCAGCCCACTGTCCAAGCAGATTTAAGTAGCCAGGAAGGGCAAGGGTCAGACAAGTAGGTAGTAGGCCTCAAACCTCCAAGGGTCCTGTTCGTATCTATAGACAGAATAAACTGAAAAGTATCTCAAACAATGGGACAGATTGGCATCCTGGCACCATCTGCCCCATCACTGATAATGCAGAGTCCAAGTCAGAATAGATGTGAGGGATTTTATCTCCAAAGTGTT